CCCCCTCTCTCTCGCCTATTGTCTTTGATAGCCTAATACACGTATACACTGTGCGGGAAGTAAAGTAATGGCCTATGACATACAGTCATGTGTACTATGTTACCAGAGACTTTGGTTAATTATACTGGTAACCAATTATAATATTGTCCATTTTGTGACCAATCTCAAATTATCTGCTTATAAACGCACACGAAAAAGTTACTTATTATAACAATTTTGTTTTTGCTTTTTGTCTGGCAATGCACCTTGTTGATTGTTCTAGTGATTTGAAAAATAATACGTCATTTTGAATTTGTGCCTCACTTACAACCCACTTTTTGAAGCCCTGCGTTTTGACGTCGCTACCCTTTCACTTTCATACCATGTTGATACTTTTGGTTCAGGGCTATTCCACGGTAACTGACGTATGAATACCTATGGTTATTAAACCTAGATCTAGCTCTTAGTGTGGTGGTAGCTTGACCTACATATTGAGCTGGACAGACTTTAGATCTACAAGATATGAGGTAGATTACATGGTGACTTTCATGATGATTTAGATTTAGAATTACTAATTGGAAACAAGTTTTTTTTATAGTTCGTCCACAAAAACTCCAGCACACCAGTTGGCCAACATTTCAACAGTCCTGGCCACAATGGAGCCTCCGATTTGCAGCTTCAGGGTATTGAAATGGTCCAATATCCAACTAAAGAAATTAGATCTATTAACCAAAGAGAATCAATGTGGATTTGGATTTTGGGGTCTCACAAAATTCTCACTGGCCTTAACATCGACGAGCCCCATTTGAAGGACCTAAAATTTACAACGTAACGTACTAATCACCCCTTATGTTCCTGTAACCCTCTCCCTTTGGCCCTGCCTTTCTGTTATATTCCTTACCTCCACGTACTAGTTCCCCCCACCACCTCTCTCTCTCTCTCTCTCTCTCTCTCCCCCCTCTCTCTTCTCTCTCTCTCTCTCTGGCCTTTCCGATTTGTGTTCACCACACCCTTCTGTTATTATATTCCTTACCTCCACGCACCTTTCCACCCCCCCTCTCTCTTTCTCTCTCTACCACTTCTGGCCTTAGTGTTCCCTTCTCTCC